GACGAAGGTCCTCCTTGCTGGACCAAGTGAGCTGTTTTAGATCAGAAGTAACAATTATCTACGCAGTTTTGTTGGGGATCTGAGTTCGGAAAGACAGGGATGTCCTTTGAGACAGGAAGATGGACTTACTTAGAGCTAAATTCCTCTCAAAATTTATCCCTCTAGAACGAGGCAATTTCGTTCCAGTATCCTCTGTCAGACAAGATTCGGAGCGTAGCACCGAAGGGCCTCCTAGTAAGCACATTTGAGGACAATAGCATATATGCCTCGACGGAGTGCGACACTATGTCTGAGGGTCTAAATAAGTCGTACAATTGAAAAATAGTACAGATATCCATTCATGTGTTGAAGGTACCCTTAGAGGTTATGGAAAGTACGAAGATGGCGAACAAATGTGCGATTGGCCCCCTGGCTAATGCATCACAAATTTATGACACCGTAAATAATATGAAAAGTTCATGTGAAAACCACAAATAAGGGAGCGGGATGCACAAGATTAAACCTGAATATTTAGTCCTGGTTCGGTCTGTTAGGAGTGAATTAGTGACACAATCTCAGAGAGGCCACATTGGTGGTTAGAGACATTATCAGATCTGGCCCATTCGCACCCCCAACAGTGTTCATACATCCATTCTGTTGTCTTTACTGCATAGCTCTTGTCCCGACCTTCCCAATGAAAAGTCCACCGACACCCAAGTATTTACGCATTGATTATATCAGTTACCACCTCCAATGCGCAGCTATCTACCCCACCTCCCAAGTAATCAGCGGACGAAGTTGTGGTAGCCAGGCCACTGTACGGCAAGCTCATNATCCATTCTGTTGTCTTTACTGCATAGCTCTTGTCCCGACCTCCCCAATGAAAAGTCCACCGACACCCAAGTATTTACGCATTGATTATATCAGTTACCACCTCCAATGCGCAGCTATCTACCCCACCTCCCAAGTAATCAGCGGACGAAATTGTGGTAGCCAGGCCACTGTACGGCAAGCTCATAGTGGATGGATGGATGATCTGAGAAGTATTTGTAAGTTCATTAGCCAGATTAAAAGCCAACACTAACCTATCACTCATGCAGAAATAGACTACGTCTGTGACCCGACTGAGTACAGCGGCAGAGACCGGGCTTTAAGGAGCTACTGCAACGTTGTACAAAACAATAGCAACTTCAATAACTCATCACTAGTAGGACGAAATTTGGTAGAGTCTCTTCGAGGTTTTGTTTTCGCACATCTTTTTCTAAGCTCACTTACTTCGCTGTTTACAGTCTATTGTCACCACACGGACGACATCTCCACATTAGCCGAAGAAATTATCAGTACAACAGACGTACTGAACACTTTACATTCAGTTCCTAATAGCAGCAAGTTTATTGGTGAACCGACGTAGAACGGACAGTTAATTTTCCTCAATGTCAGTAACAAAAGAAGACCGACAGGAACAGAGAACAAAGTTCACAGGGGGTATACCTGGACAGACCACTACATTCACTTGCACTGAGAAATAAACGTAACTTAATTAAATGCTTGACTGAGAAATAGTGAAGATATGATTCTACGACTGTGCATAACAGGAATCAAAGTTTTTGGGACACATGGTCTAGAAGAAGGGATATCCTAAACATTCTGTATTCAGAACGATACTATATGTAAAACGCAAAACTAAACATTGTTCGGTTGAAAAGAAGCGCGTCCACATAAGACTCCTATTCAAAGTTGACTCGGATACTGAAATAACTATGAGAAGGCTTGGAAATTTCGTGCATTAGTTTCAGCTCTAACCCCACTATCAGGTTCCATTTGAAGGACTAACTGTCAAGATCTTCCACAGACTTTTGTGTGTACTCATTTGTATACATGTGGCGAGCGTCATGTTGGTCTCATGACAAAGCGCTTGTCGGAGAGAACGCGAGAACAATCCCGTGTCTCTAAGTAACAACCGGGCTGAAGCGCAATTGCATCACAAGCGAACAGAACTGGTTTTGCCAAGTAGGAAGAGTGAGCCCTTGATGTCATATACCGGATACGTCTGAGCCTATTATGGTTCGTATGGTCCAGATCGGTATGGTTCGCAGAGGTGATTGGAATCAAAATGTATAACCCACAACTCTGCGTCCCACAAACTTGCCTGGTACCTTTGTCTTTCACTTTCGCCTCTTTAAATTGTGTGCCTTCTATCTAATCCCTTGCCCCTCCGTCTGCTTCTTCAGTCATTGAATAGTGTGTACCCGTGATTTTCACATAACCTCTCAAGTCATTTCAAGTATCATTTCTAGTTGCGTTATGTTGGCCAAACTAACCATAGAAGGCAAGCTTTTTTCGCCCCCCCCCCAATTTTTATTCTAATATTCATTTGCTGGGGAAGTTTGATGGACCAGTTAGATGGTTCTGGTTGCTGAACAGTCGTAATGGGTATCTGTTCTCAGAGGTTAGAATAACCCATCTTCCTGTCGTTAATTCCAGATAAATGCATGATTTAACCCTTATGTTCTGCCTCACGTATGTTTCTCTGGTGAACATCTGCAGATCTATCATCTTCTGTCATCCCTATTTGTACTTTCCCGTCTGTTCAAACGTAAAGACTTGGCAACAACATAAACCGCGGAAAACAAACACATCCGTGACCTATAGCTTACCAGTTATGTCGTCAGGATCATGTGACCAACTTCCCATGTTTCTGATTGATGGACAAAAGTTCAAACCAATCACATCCAAAGTAATCTCAGATAGAATGGAATGCATCCATCTACTTCTCCCGAACATTCTCTCTGTAAATGTACTTCCGAAGGCCCCATTCTATATTTGTCATCATCAATGAATTGGAAGGAAACAGATCACTGACAAAAAATATCAACGTGTGGCTAAGTTACTTTCGGGCATCTAGAACTGGTTCGGGATGGTGGCGAGATAGCTCAGCGATTAAGCGTCAAATTGCTGGTCGAACATCCGTCGTTCAAACCCAATCTCGGCTGCTCTTGTCCGAATTAGAGAGACCTAGCAGTATGTCCTCCCTAGTGCTTTCTTAGGAGTGGTTGACAACTAGACCCAGCGTGTTCCAAATGAACTATCATTATTTAATATCATTATGCAATATATTTCATAGCTCTACCTACGATCTTTTGTAAACTAACTAGGTCCGACAGAGTATGCTTTTGAACGGCAGTCCTAGCTTACAATTTCTTTTTTATTTGGTTAATTAAGCCCAGGTTACTGTTCTCGCCCACGACATAGGCTTATCCATTCTATATCAGGCAACAGACTGGCACCGTACCGAACAAAACCTATTCAGTCGCAATACTGTCTTCACAAATGATATTCTGGACAACGCTGCTGCTGGAATGAGTTGGCTGGTCCTAAGTGTTGCAATAAATAACCCACTCTCTCGAATGTCGCCTCTGTCGGACAACCAAATTCCAAATTGTTTCCTGAGAATTCAACTAATGGAACCTCTGCTGTCGTAGACTTATACGGATGCTTTCAACTATGCAAAACGCACTTTGTCAGTCCTTTCGCCTTCTACAGGCTTTGTGGTATCATCGATACAACGCGAAAGATGCTTCAGATCTTGTTTCTTTATAGCAATCAACTCCACAGTGATCATTCTTATGAAATTTTTGTTATATTACCTATAGGAAGTTGGTGCCTGTTTCTGACAGCAGTCTTGAAAATAATTGGAAGCCCTTCTTTAAAGTTGCGGACTATCTGTTCAGATTACAGTTGTGTGTATTTAGATCGGCAGGAGTGCACCTTAGAGATCCGAAAATTCAAGAATTCCCTCTTCTCTTCCCCCTCCATTGGCTAATGACAGTTTTCCCTAGTTCGCACTTTTCCGATCTACATTGAGTTTCTTAGGTATGACCGTTTCATATAACTTTGGTTTGTTCCCTCTTATAATTATCAGAATTGAACTCCCAGCTTTACACGCAGAGGAAGGAAATGCTCTCTCTTAATGTCTATAGGCAGAAGGAAAACATTGTGACGGTCGTTCCACCCCTTTCTTAGTACAGTAATCCCCATGAGACTTGGTGAGAAGCTGAAAACGGAAGATTTCAGAACGAATACTCATTCTAAGGTAGCGGTGGAAAGAACGTTACTCGTCGAATTATATCGGATTATCTTAGATGAGTTCACTTTCAATCTGCATCGCCATAATTCATTTCCCAATGAGTCCCGTAACCCACGCCAAATAGTCTGGAAGTCCGTATGAGGAGTGGTCGAGAGAAGTGAGCTGATAAGGCGGGGCAGTAAATCAGCAGTGTTTATAAAATCAGTCAATTGACCTAACGCCCAACTTGAAAGTTTGAGTCTGTGACAAAGACAGTTGGGCTTGTGGCATTTATGCTCCAGAACTTAAACAACCATTTGAAAATCTCAACTTTCTGTCATATTCGCGTCTAGCGGGCTATGTCCTCGGCGGCAAGTATCTCTACCTCCAAAACTGCGTCATCAGTGACGCAGCTTTCTTGTGAAAGTCCTCATATCCCTGGAGTTTGCTCAAAATCTCAAAGTACCAGATGGGTATTCGGTAAAACAGGTCAATGTCATTCTCCAAAATAAAAATTTGGAGATCGTAGTAGCAGATTCGGTGGTTTTAAAATGACAGAGAGAATGGAATGGGATGATCAGTTTGTTTAGTTTTCCTTTCTTATGTTTACGTCACCGTTTATTTGAATGTGTTCATGGAATAACAGGGTCAGCTATTAATTGTACTATAGTACATAAATTGGTTTGTATTACCAACCTCATGAAGTATGAAGTCAAAGCTGAGCCAGCTTCCTGTTGTCGGGTTCTACCATGATCGTGACCAGGCGAAATGTGCTTTTCTCTCCCGGTGGGTAGATAATTCACACCAGGCAATTATGTCGGCAACCAAAAGAGAAAAAGTCGGCAAAATTGTGGTTTGGTGAATTGGATCGTTTTTATTGTGATTACACGTACTAATCAATTTACGATTAAAAAAATTGAGCCAGAAGAGTTACCAATCTAACACCAAGACATACCTTGTTGGCTCATCAAAGAACATCACTGGTGGATTATTGACCAACTCCTGTGCAATGGCCAGTCGTTTCTTTTGTCCGCCAGACAACTGGGATATCCGGGTATCGGCCGCATCTCCCAGACCAAGTACGTTGAGGATGTCACTGACCTGGGAACCGAGGAGTGCGGATTGTCAGGGTAGTCAAGGTAAATCAGTGTGATAAATTACACAGAGGGAAATAAAGAAAACATTCAAACATTCAGTGCTCATCCACAGATCCGAGAGACCTGTTGGTGTGGCTATTCTCTCTACAAGGATGGCCCTGAATTTGAGGGGACAAAGACATTTTGAACAGATCTGTATAACCGAGATGAGCACCATCTGCTTGCCGGGCAATTGACCTAGAAGGTGGGCTAACTTACTCACTCAGAAGTTTTGTCCTGATAGCAAGTACTTGCGATATCAATGGGAATGCCCTACATTTGTAAAGTTCACAGAAATTTACACTTGTCCATCAGAGCCCGTAGATAGCTGCATAGCAAAAGCAGGCGAATTCGCCAAGTGTACATAAGCACAGGTGATCAGAACGTCTCTTGAATATGAACTGAGAAACAAAAATTATCTACAGAAATGTAGTCTCGGAAATTTAATCGTGGGGGAAGTAGAAATTACGTTGCGTTGCCATAATAGCGATGGTAAGGCGACGTGATCTGTACTTCCCAACCCTGAAAAAGGATCACCCTCGACTGCCTTGCGATGCAGAGTCATGGGACAACAATATTTTCCGGTTATAGATGCTGACGTTCTTCCATTCATGAGGTTTCAAAATAAACTTATGAAGACAATTCATGATTGTGATGCTCGAATGTACACAGACACACACAAAGAAGACTGGTTCAGAGCTTTACGAACACGCAAACTGCTCAGGGTCATATCTTATATCCTGAAATCTACAGTTGAAACCTGCGAATCCTCAGGCTTCAGTTTGTTCAAAATTTCAGGAGAATCTGGCTTAGTTCACAAACGTTTATTCCAGGGAAATCTGTCAGGAGGGACCGTACACAAATACAAACCCATACCGCCAACCTGGCGTTTAGTTCAGCACAATTTATGCCGTGTACGACGTGAGTTTGTCCACCGATTTACCAGGATATACCAAATAAATAATCATCAATCATCCAGCTGTAACACCCTCTGGGTGCTCGGTTGCCATACCACTCGAATGAAACAATTGAGCTGAGACATCTTAAGTTTGCTCAAGCCTAGACCAAAACAGTCGAGATGCAGAGGTCGGGTTCGAAGCTAGTGAGTCAACCACCAAGCCATCATGAATCTGACTGACCAGAAGCTCTGGAATCTGTTTATGTTTGGGTAAGTCCCCCCAGCAGAGGTCTGCGTTCTCTTCATGTGGCTGGTTGGTTTTCTTACGGATTAGTTTGTGGTTTCTGTACCCTCACAAGTGGCAGTTTGAGTTCATGAGTGGTGCATTTTGCAACCCCGTTCAGGACACCCAAACCAGCGGTAGAGTATATCATAACAGGACTTCTTAACAATAGGTGCCTTAACCGAAGTAACCATTTTAAAGGGGTTTTCTTCGCCTGATCCCAATAGATAAAGCGAGCTTCCCTATATATGGTTCAAAAATAGCTAACTTATCCTTCAAGAGACGAGTATATAATGTACATAATGTTTTCTGCTTAATTCAGAAAATAGCTATCTTAAACTTCTAGTAGCCGACAGGCAATAAACTTTTCATCTTCACACTGTAAATGACATGCAGTTTATAGTGGTCACTTAAAGTTCTCGAGATCGAAGCTTCTGAGAACGTGCAGTCTGTCTGAAAGTCGGATGTCATAAATTTGGGACAACTTTTAGCCAAAACTTTATTGTTCCCAGTAAGAGTGTAGCTCGACTCCGAGTGTTTTAGCGTTGATTTATCAAGCTATTCGTGATGCGAATGGGTGTTGCTGCCCCTCCCTGTTTGCTCTCCCAGCGAAAACACCTCAAGTTAATCAGTTGTCCGTTACTTCATTGCTATATGGCGGCCTCCACTGAAATTCTAATTTCCACCCTCACTGTAGTCCCATCACATAATTTCGTTCTTATCTTGATTTCATCTTGCAGATAACACTCTGATAAGAATTCATAAAGTGATAATACCCATGAACTAATGGATGGTAGTCCGACTGTTTCGTGAAACGTGTCCACAGTATGCTTCAACTCCTGTTTGAATTCTGATTGCTTCAACCGATTCCAAACCACCATATTCAGTATGAGCTTTTGTGGTTGGGCTAGGTGCAGTGGAACATAGCTATATCAAATTATAACTAAATATTTCAAATGCCAGCTTCGCGTGCGCACTCGAAATGATTACATCAGTAAATTTACCAGTACCGTTACAGAAGTGGAATAAATATGCGGACTAAATGAACCTTTTCAGGACAAATGACAGTTCAGAGTTGGCTTAGACAAGTGTTCTGTTTGATAGCTGTCCAGAAAACTCAAGGATCTCCCTGAGAGATTTCACCAATAGATGTCTAGCATTCATGAACATATTAGTTAGGGGGCTAGCGGGTGAGTAGTAGGGATTTTTTAAGGCTACAACATAAGTCTCTGATTATGAAGTGTCATTTTGACATGGTGGCTGGCCATCGTGTTTTAGCTTGTTTGTTTCATGATTTACGCTAAAAATCTAATAAATATAGTCCGGGTTGGAACACCTTCAATGAATAGGGCATGGCCTGATAGGCGGCCGATGAATTTTAACCACATCACCATCACCATCATCATCATCATCAACAGCATGACATCAGTGTTCAACATTGAGGCTTCACTGCAGTACAACCATGATTTATTTGAAGGCCTTATTATAAAGAAAAAGGTAAAGGTGGACAAGGGAGGGATTTAGTGCTAGCTTAACACAATCATTCCGAGGTGCCTATACCTCCAGACATTCACTCAGGCAATCTGGATAGAAACTGACAACAAGAATGCCACTGACATCGGTTGGAAGCCATATATTGTAGTGTCTCCAACCAGGAACAGTGAGGATCACGCGGGCCCATCCTGGAAGGCAAGTAGCACCGACAGCACCCAGGCGTTTCGTGATCTCCTTCATACTTCACTACAAAATCAAGGTTTGGCCACCTCTATGTTTACCCCACTCTGAATTAGGCATGGAAAACCGCGCTCTCTTCAGCAAACGATGGTTCGGCATGCGTAACACATGTCCCAACCAACGCAGCTTCTGGTGCTGGACACATTTTTCAATGGAAGTACCCGTTACACAACCGAAAACACGCTCTCTAACTGTCTCGTTACGGATTCACCGACACCAACCCACACGAGCTATGGTTCTGAGACAACGATTGTCGAACATCTGAAGACGTCTCAGTTTCGCTGCTCGAACAGGCCAAGTCTCACAGCCATACAACAAAACAGCCCGGTACTGTAGCTTGATACACACGTCCCTTCAGATTCAGGGATAAACCATTCTGATGCCATAGGTGTCTCAAGTTAGCCAACGCGGCCCGAGCCTTGCAGATTCGTGCATTCACTTCATCTGTCACACTACAATCAGAACTAATACAACTTCCAAGATACGTAAAACGCTCCACAACTTCCAGTACCTCTCCCTGGATTGTAAGGGGCGTGTTCAGTGACTGCACGTCCACAAGCATGACCTTACACTTTGTGGGTGCAAAATGCATACCAAAGGACGGGATGACTTTGGTCAGTTCATCCAAGAATACTTGCGCCTTCTCCTCCTCTTCGAACATGAGAACGATGTCGTCTGCATATTCCAGATCGACAAGGTTTTCTTCACTGGCTATTTGAACACCAGGGTTTTGGAGACCCTCCAGCGTTCGTCTCATTATTTCATCGATCACAAAGTTAAAAAGGAATGGAGAGAGTGGGCATCCCTGACGGACACCGCTTTGTGTGCGGAAGCTTTTGGAGAGCTCTCCGTACACTCTCACACGTCCGGAAGTCTGAGAATACAAAGAACGTATTATGTTTACAAACTTCCGGGGCATTCCTTGGTGGGCAAGCGTCTCAAGAAGAGCAGACCGATCAACCGAGTCGAATGAGCCTCGGAAATCCAGGAATACTAGAATCGTGGGTCGCTTATACGTATGGCGTTGTTCTAGCACCTGACGCAGTGTGAAGATTTGGTCAACACAACCCCTACCAGGCCGGAATCCCGCTTGCTTCTCTCGAGTCGGTAGCTCACGAGCCACCGTAGGGCGACGAAGCACAATTGACGCCAACAGTCTCGTTACAACAGGGGTCAAGCTGATCCCCCTGTGGTAACCACACTCACTGCGCGCCCCTTTTTTGAAAATGGACACCATCACCAGTTGTCTGGGGCAGACTCCTTTTCCCAGGTGCAAGCAAACAGATCAGGCGCTGACTGAGCACTTTACCTCCGTCTTTGAACAGTGCGGATGGGAGGTCATCCGGTCCAGGAAATTGGTGGCGCTTGAGAGAACGTATGCAGTCGTAAGCCCCCGAGGCCGTAGATGATTCCACATTCACCACAACAAACAGTCGTTGACCTCAATTTCGTAGCTGGCAAAAATTCAGTTCTTTTGGTGTCTGGAAACTTGAGCGCACTGTTGATGCTTGAATAGCTTAGTGAAAAAACAAGCACAGAAAACACTGACGGTGGAAAAGTCTACTTCATTTGTCCACCGTTTATCGGTCTAGCACCTGTAAATAACCAGTGGGGAAAACAAAAACACCGCAAAATTTGCGTAGACCTCAATTCTGGAAATTGCCCCTCCCTTTTCATAAAAAGTAAATCATTGTAATAGAACTTGTGGTATGAAACCTGCAAACAAGTCAATCAAACTGATCTAAAGCTCTGCAGTACGCTTTGGATCCCGCTGATGATAATTCTTAAAAACTTTAATGGGGCTTCTCCTTATTTAACTGCCTTGGGCACGTACAAACTTTATTTGAAAGGTTGGATGTCAACTTAAACTGCATATGGTCTCAACTTCTTTCAAACTTTTGGTGAGTACTGTAGACATGTTACAAAATCATTCGTGATTTTCACGGGGTTTCTAGTAATTTCAGTTCAATTTGTCAGCTATACACCGTGTACGATGGGCATATTGGTTTCAGCTGCTGCAGTTTCAGTCGCTGGAAAACGGGGAGAGTGT